CAAGGGGGAAGATTTCCCCGATGAAAGCAAAGTGGGCATGGTTGAGCAGCGCTTAAAATGCTTCGAAAGTGGTCCAGGGGCGAAGCCCCGAAAAATTTGACAATTTAGGAGTTTCAAAGGCTTATTTAATCGATTTTAGAGTCTACTTATATCTAATATGTGCAAAATACATATAATTCTTTTTTCTCCTGGGCGGGGGTAGGGGGGGCAGATTTCCCTGGGGGCTGTCAATATGCAAGTGTGACTTCGTTTTTTGAAAATCGATATATCAATGAAAACTCTTAAAAAACCACATCATTAGTTATCCAGATATAATATCTATAATTATTAAATGACTGATTTGTTACAGCTGTACCTCTACATACAGGTAAGATGGGTAAATATACAGCCATCCATTATTAACATTTAAACAATGTGCTAAGAATAAATAATTACAGACCCATATACCTCCCATAACCCCAACTACAACTAAAATTAAACTTAGTTACACAACATCTCATGAGGTTAGGTAGGCTTATCATAATTATGAGCAAGCAAGCATATTTCACAGTACAGAAAGTATATAATTACTATCTACCTGCAGTGAATTCTCAGTCAGAAAGTACTTGCTTAACTTGCCCGGACCTCTGCCTTGTTCTAATATTACTACCAGTACTGTCCGTACTGCACCAACAATGATGAATAGATAGACCTGATGATGTGACACATTTATGCTTGTATTATAAATGTTAAACCAAATACAATTTTCTATACATGGATATTAAACATCACAATGAAACAAGTTAAACATTCATTATAATTTAATCATCAATAAACGCAACCCTTTCGTTCATCTCATGGGCGCTGCCATCTTTGTTTGCATATCATGGGCACAGCCATCTTTGTTTACATAAAAGAGCACCACCAACCTGATATAAAGTTACGAAACCGCAGGAATGAGCTCACGCTGCCCAACGCCAAAACCAGATACTGATCAAACAATTTTAATTACCGTTTAACTGTGAATTAATACAACTCTTTCAACATTATTACATAGAGATAAATGTGACATACATTATTACTGTTGTGGTATGATTATTAGTCAAACAATTTAACATGTCATCTCATCAAAATGATCAATGAATAGCCGTAGCATGCAGAGCGCTGTACTAGGCCTATTACTGGTTTGGCTACATACAAATTAATCGGTTCTCAGCCTAGGCCAAGTTATTGCCAAAGATAATTTAGTACCACAACTCAAGATTACAAGATAGCCATTTATCTTCAGATAACTATTTATAATATAAATTTAACTAATCTATACTGTTTAAAAATTCAACGTACCAGAACAATTGGCGCTAATGCACTTTAGTACTCCACCCTAACGCTAACCTTAATATTAACATAACAAGACTGGAGTGTGGTTAGGGTTAGGGTGGAGTGTTAAAATGCATTAGCGCCGAACAATTCAATGTCATAAAAAAAAACAGTACTTGGTTTCCGACGACAGTAACACATGTCTTGTCACTGCTCAGGCCCGCGCAAGAAAGTACTGAAAAACATGTTCGGCTACTAGCGTAGGCCTTCTTACATAATACACGCAGTAAGATATATATCTATGCTCGGCGCATCACCCCAAAGTTAAAAAAAACTCAAACAAAATAGTTTCTTATATGGCATAGATAATCACAAAAATCAGCTTCTCGCGTAAGTTTTCATTATTATTATTTACAAAGTTTGCCTTCATAGAATGAATTTGTTTCAATCATGCTTTAAAAATATTATCTTGAAGTTTGCAACTTATGTTTTTGCCTTTTTTTTCAGTTTTAATAGGAGTAAATCAAATGTTGGCGCACCAATGAACGAACCCCCTAGGTAAGGTCATATAGTTTAGAAGAGACCTTGTTTGCTATTTTTTTAAAGGTCATCATGGGAGATAGAAAAAGAAAAATAAAATTTTGTTTTCTTATTTAGCAAAATGGTTTTGTCAAAAGCAACTAGACAGAGGGAAAATAAAAATAAAATTTTATTGATGAATTAAAAAATTGGGAGTGAATGAGGTAAAATAAATAACGCCCTTTGGCCTTTACTTGAGATTCCATTGCACAATTATAAAAATGTGATTTTACGATAAAAGCAGTGTAGTAATTCGATTAATAGATGCTTAGAATTTATAGAATTTCTAATTTGCTTTGTATTTCTATTGATATGGACATTGTCTGAAGAAATAAAAACAAATTGATATAATTTAGGAAGACATGAAGTCTTTTAGTTTAGGTACAAGTCCTTAAATTAGCTGGTATTCATAAAATATTGGAAAAACCTTAATAGTTTTAAATTAAAATGTTTAATATAGCTCTTTTAATTGTGTATTAGTAAATTCCAGTGGTACACATATTTATTATTTTTCTGATCATACTAGGTAATATGCTCATATGCAAAAAGAAATTTAACTTTAATTTTCACTAACTTGCATTTATAAACATATTTTGCAGAAAACAGCACATCAGTGTATACTCTTTAGATCCAATAAGTAATGAGACATTGGTCCTAAGAGCGCCCCCAGGCCAGATGACTCTGCTCATCCTCATCAATCAGGCTAATGAGAAAGAGCTGGTTGTCGAGGCTGAGAAAGCTATCAAATGTCAAATTGAAAGGTATGAATTAAATCAGCGTAGGTCAATTCAATATTTTTTTAAATTTCATGTAGAGGTAAATATTACTTACATATTGATTCGAATTTTACTCATCCTCTAAACTTAAAATCTTCACATTTTATCTTAAGTCTCTCATAGTATTTTCATAATCTTCTCATATCTCTTCTAAATCACTTAACTTATACTAAATCTACCTAGTTCTATTCTTAATCTTTCTAATATTGTCATATACGGTATTCATCATTTTATAAAATCTTCATACACCTATCCGAAGTGTTCCTGATCCAATAATAAATCTTCCTAATCCTATACTAAAGCTTCCTAATCCTGTACTAAATCTTCCAAATTGTTATGCATCTCCATAATCCTATTGTAAATCTGTCTAATTCTACAATTTTCCATATTTATTTGCAATTCTAAAACCCTTTATTCTTCATATTATCCTAAATCTCTTTTATCCTAAGTCTTCCTAATCCTACCTTTATATCTCCATATACTAAATCTTCTTAATTCAATCAAATCTTGTTCCCTGATCTCCATGATTCTATCCTAAATCTTTCTAATCATTTACTAAACCTTTATAATCCTCTGCAGAATGGAAGGTTGGCACTTGTCATGTCTTCAAGTTGATAAATATAGTTCGTGGTACGAGCAACTAACCAATCAAACTCTAGGCACACAGGATGTAAAGGAAGTCGTAGGGAATATTCTTGCCATTAACGGACACAGAATGTACTATTGTCTGTACAATGCACGGACGCAGATTGCTACTTACCGAGCCTCACATCAATGCTCGCAAGTGAGTCCGGAATCTGTCGGTTTTGGGGATTCCGACAGCGATACAGATGATGAAAACGAGTTTCTTATTGATAATTTTTATGCTCCATTACCCATTTGGATTGACAGACTTTACGATGGCTCAGCCAAAAGGATACAGGTTACAGAATGGCCAACCTTCGACCCTAGGTGATGCAGATAAATTTAAAGTTTTCCGTTTTGCAATTAAATGTTAAAATATTGGAAAAACCTTAATAGTTTTAAGTTAAAATGTTTAATATATAGCTCATTTAATTGTGTATTAGTAAATTCCAGTGGTACACATATTTATTATTTCTCTGATCATGCTAGGTAATATGCTCATATGCAAAAAGAAATTTAACTTTAATGTTCACTAACTTGCATTTATAAAAATATTTTGCAGAAAAGAGCACATCAGTGTATACTCTTTAGATCCAATAAGTAATGAGACATTGGTCCTAAGAGCGCCCCCAGGCCAGATGACTCTGCTCATCCTCGTCAATCAGGCTAATGAGAAAGAGCTGGTTGTCGAGGCTGAGAAAGCTATCAAATGTCAAATTGAAAGGTATGTTAAATCAGCGTAGGTCAATTCAATATTTTTTAAAATTTCATGTAGAGGTAAATATTACTTACATATTGATTCTGAATTTTACTCATCCTCTAAACTTTATCTCATAAACCTAAATAATTTTATGTAAAATCTTCACATTTTATCCTAAGTCTCTCATAGTATTTTCATAATCTTCTCATATCTCTTATAAATCACTTAACTTATACTAAATCTACCTAGTTCTATTCTTAATATTTCTAATATTGTCATATACGGTATTCATCATTTTATAAAATCTTCATATACCTATCCGAAGTGTTCCTGATCCAATAATAAATCTTCCTAATCCTATACTAAATCTTCCTAATCCTGTACTAAATCTTCCAAATTGATATGCATCTCTATAATCTGTAGCAGTACTACCATCTGTAAATTTGTATATAGGATCTGTGTGTAAATAATACTTGCATTTTTAACTAATATCCCAACTTCATGGGTTATACACCAAGCTTAGGAAGGTCATTTACCTTAAGGTCATTTGCCTTAATTCAAGTATACCACATACATTTGTACTTTTACAGACACTCCTCAGTTTGTCCTCCCTGAGTACACATTACTTTCGCTTTCTATCAATTTGTATATATCATCAACTTGTTTCTCAAGTGTTTTTGTAAATACGCTTTTCACTTGGAATAGATTGTACAGTTCTACATATAAATTAGTGTGGTGTATATTTATCATCTCATCGTACACTTACACTAAAAATCCTATTGTAAATCTGTCTAATTCTACAATTTTCCATATTTATTTGAAATTCTAAAACCCTTTAATTAATCTTCATATTATCCTAAATCTCTTTTATCCTAAGTCTTCCTAATCCTACCTTTATATCTCCATACTAAATCATCTTAATTCAATCAAATCTTGTTCCCTAATCTCCATGATTCTATCCTAAATCTTTCTAATCCTCTGCAGAATGGAAGGTTGGCAGTTGTCATATCTTCAAGTTGATAAATATAGTTCGTGGTACGAGCAACTAACCAATCAAGCTCCAGGCACGCAGGATATAAAGGAAGTCGTAGGGAATATTCTTGCCATTAACGGACACAGAATGTACTATTGTCTGTACAATGCACGGACACAGATTGCTACTTACCGAGTCTCGCATCAATACTCGCAAGTGAGTCCGGAGTCTGTCGGTTTTGGGGATTCCGACAGCGATACAGATGACGGAAACAAGTTTCCTATTGATAATTTTTATGCTCCGTTACCCATTTGGATTGACAGACTTTACGATGGATCAGCCGTAAGGATACAGGTTACAGAATGGCCAACCTTCGACCCTAGGTGATGCAGATAAATTTAAAGTTTTCCGTTTTGCAATTAAATGTTTGTTATTGTTTGTTAATCCGTCCCTCATTTTAAAAATCAGTTGTCATCTGTGTTTCTGTTTTAGTGAAAGAAAATGATGCTGAGAGGATCATGATACACAGTAATTTTGATGCATGACTCCTTATAAATAATCATGATGAAATAATTTGGGTGACTGTGTTTGTTCAAGTGTATACCATCCCAAAACCAACATCCATGACCAAAAATTTAAAAATTAACTTTTTAAAATAACTGTATTCCCCAGGTTAACTTCAAAATAATGTGTCATTTAAGCTTGGTTGCCATACAATCGTTACACTATTGCACAGTTTAACTGCAATCGATGTATGAGGTGTCCCCGATGCAATTGTGAACACTCCCTGATTCAATTGACCAATCAGTGTTGCCAAAGGAGTGGGTGATAGCGTGTAGTGATTTATATGGTAAAACCAGGCTTTACTGGAATAGATTAACTGTTGCCCAAGCTAATAATTAATAGTATTAAGCATTACTAAGCATACAGTCTATCATGCTCTGATGCGAATTAACATATTACGACAGTATACTATAGTTTTGGGATGGCATGCCTCATATACAAGAATGAATAGGGGTAGATAGTACTATACAGACTAACTAGTTTAATTGTGGCTACCTTATATAAATCAAAGTACGATTTGACCAATATTAACGGAATGCGAACACACCTTCAATATGTAGTGCCGCTATACCTTGTATTTATTCCTGTATTTTCATGTGAAGTATCTTAAAATCAGGTAGTTCTAGATAAAAATTAATTTGATGTGAGTTTTCTTCATTCATTTATTTACTTGTATTTACAGAATCCTAATCACAGATGCCGGGAACTAAGGAGGTATAACCCAGGTGGTCCCGGAACTACTGTAAGCTTAACTACAGTAAACTATACTTATTGCAAATTAATCGCAAATAATAATAAGTTAACAAATCTCTTAATGTGTTCTGATTACTGTAGGTTATTGCACTCTTCCATAATACTTTATATTAAATGTTTGCTTCCAATTACAAGTATACAGATTGCTTGGGCCTGGTCTGATTTACAGTAGGACCGAATTGAGTAACTCCCATGGCAATCAATGTGTATTGGCAATGAATACAGTACTAATGGATAGCATGTGAATGAACTTGTTGATAGTGAGAATACATTTTTACAAAGATCCACAGATGGGCTCACCAGTAGCAGCGAGAAACCACACAACTGTAATGTGGGTACCAAAGATACCCCAATTAAAACAGAATAAAACGTTGACACGCACCATCCGACCAATGAAAGATTCGTCAATTAGATAATTTGGCATCTGGATCACACAACATGATTGGATAGAAGTACAGTATATCAACACCCTAGTAGGTTGGCAAAATGTCACTGCTTTTGTCATATCCTTTACCAAATAACAATCTCATTTGTTATTTTGGTTTTTTTTTTATTACTTTAGTCTAGTTTTTATTCCAAACATTTTAAACTTGTAAATTCTCCATTTTAATAACCTTTGTTTTATACTGATTTTTATTTAATGTTCTTATTGTTAAATTGTATAAATTTTAGCTCATTTTTTTTGTATATATTTGCGAATTTGGATGGATGTATGGTGATTTTTACATTTTTATATTTTATGTATTTTGATTGTAAATATTGTACTTATTCAGTGCTTTCAATGCAAGAGCAATATTAATAAACCTTGAATTGATTTGAAGATGTATTTATTCACAATCAACTCTGTTAACTAAAATTATTAAATTTAGTTAACAAATTGTAGTTGCAGTCTAACAAATTGTAATTGCAGTTCCTAAATAGTGTGGTCTGAAAGCACATTTTTCCCCATCCTAAACCCTAATTTCCTTTTACCTCTATATCATGACCAGAGGCCTCAGGTGGAAACTGGGGTTTAGATGCCATTTGCTGACTATCTTAGCAAATTTTGAAGCCATCACTTGTCATAATTATTGCCTGACTACTGTACATATTT